AAGAATAAAAAGTATAATCGCACATATACTATAAACATTATTATAAGATGCCAATGTGCAGACCATCTGGAGTATTCACAGTAAACATACCTTAAGAACCAATGGTCTTGAGTAATTTTCTGTATGTATTACAAATCAAAAGATAACAACTAAATGGAAATACAACTTACCTACAATTCACTGTTGATTTTCCACCTTCAAATTCAGAATTCTTCCCCCATCTTTTAGGTAATTCTAATACCATAAGTCCTTTTATTCCTATAAGTGCTATGTGATGTTGTGTTGGACTTAGTAAGACTTGATAGATTTCAAACAGGGGTGGGTTTATGCAAAGCAATCTCTGAAATTAAAGCAAACTGGTCAAAATACTTAATCTTAATGTAAATATATGTGGCAATTACTTGAAAGCACAGTACTGCTTTAGTTTTCCATAACTGTAGGGTAATGACGCATTCTGGATAATTACACTCGAGCCATTAACTGAAGAAATAGTTCTAACCATTTTGACTGGAATGTTATAAAATGCATCAAATTTCCCTACCTTGATAAATAAATATTGCACATAAATTTCCTCTTTATAATCAAGCTCCAGCCTCCCACTTCAGCCTCAACTCTCCACCATTCCCCTCTTGTACTTGACACTCCAATCAGATTAACTTGTACTTCTGGGTAATTATTATGCTTTATTATGCTTCTCTGTTTTTGCATACGTGTTTCTCCTCCTGCAATGCCCTCATTTTCCTTTTTTTTTGGTAGCTAACACATTCTTGGAGGAAAGCCTCGATACACTTTCCTCCCCCCAAAATATCCCAGGGATAAGTGCATCTTTTCTGGACTGACTCCTATAGCACCCTCTATTACAGTCTTATCACCTTGCATTCTAAGTATCTATTTACTTGCTCATCCCATACAACTACGAATATTAAGAATGAATTACTTAGCCCTGACCAGTTTGGCTCAGTGGATGGAGCGTCGGCCTGCGGACTCAAGGGTCCCAGGTTCGATTCCGGTCAAGGGCAGGTAACTCGGTTGCGGGCACATACCCAGTGGGGAGTGTGCAGGAGGCAGCTGATTGATGTTTCTCTCTCATCGATGTTTCTGACTCTCTCTATCCCTCTCCCTTCCTCTCTGTAAAAAAATCAATAAAATATATTAAAAAAAAAAAAAGAATGAATTACTTATGAATCTGTGTCTTTCCTCTCTGTATCTTTAGCATAATATAACTCACTCTCAATATGTTTTAGTGAAGACAAATGAAGAACTCAGAAGCATTAATAAATGATAATTACTACATTATATTAGAAATAGTACAATAAGATAGAGAATGGGTTTAAGAATTTCTGTAGGAAGTAAAATGGTGCTTTACCTATGCAGGTATGGAAGTGTTTGTCTCGGCATCATATGTCCTCAAAAAACGTCACTTCTTCCTATTCTCGTTACCATGTTGCCTTTTTCTTTCCTTTCTACTTTCAGTAATAAACCATGAAATTGCCAACGTATTGCTTATCCTTATGCATGAAGAATCCTACTAAGTCAAAGTCCTTTTAGACAAGACGTTGTGAATATGAGATTTCTATTAATTATTACTGATGTCTATACGCCTGTTTGGTTTTTTTAGTTGCCTTTTTGCTGATTCTGTTTTTCCTCCTGTCATGGTATTTTCCTTCTTTTCCCTATCTTCTCAACCCCCATTTTCTTTCTACTTGATTTTGACAGTCTACCTCACATCAAATAGAAGCCACCTTTCTTCTGCTACACACAATCCAATTACCTTAAATCACTTGTGACGATCAGAGTACTTAGGGGCTTTTGTTTGTTTTGTTTCTAAGGCACCACTTACGCTTTTGTTAAACTCGAAACTCATGCTAAGCTGCTTTTTTGCCTATCTCAGAGTTTTGGATATTCTGGAAGATTGAGGGTCATTCAGACAAACACTAGTATTTACTGAGAGCTTATGTGTTCCAGGAGCTGAGTGAAATACTGGAAATACCTAAGAAAATAAGTAAGGCATACAGAGGCCATGACTTGGTGTTTACTGTCTAGAAAAGTAGACAATAAATAAATATAAAAAATTTACTCATGACTGTGCCAAATGCTGCACAGCAATGTAGGGTACTAGTGAAATACTGTGTGCTGAGCATCTTGTAAGTTACTCTTGTAAACTGAAATATTAAAGTTAGTAGATTATAGACCTGACCTATTTTCAAAACTGCAAAAATATATCTAGCACCTCTTTAGTTTCAAATCATTTCTCATCAACAAGAATCGGACAATGCCACACATTAGATGTGGCATTCCAATGTTCGCCAAGTTTTTTAGTTTTTAATCTTTAAAAGAATCAGTTTATTACCAACTAGAGGCCCGGTGCATGAAATTTGTGCACTTGGGGCAGGGGAGGGGGGGTGTTCCTCAGCCCAGCCTGTACCCTCTTGCAATCTGGGAGCCCTCAGGGGCTGTCCAACTGACAGCTTAGGCCTAACCCAGCAGTCGGACATCCTTAGTGCTGCTGTGGAGGCGGAAGAGGCTCCCGCCACCACCGTTGCGTTCACCAGTCGTGAGCCTGGCTTCTGGCTGAGTGGTGCTCCCCCTGTGGGAGTGCACTGACCACCAGGGGACAGCTCCTGCGTCGAGCGTCTGCCCCCTGGTGGTCAGTCCGTGTCATAGCGACCAGTCATTCCTCCGTTTGGTGGATTTGCCTATTAGCCTTTTATTATCTACTAGGAGCCCAGTGCACAATATCACACAGCGTCGGCCACTCACCTGCAGCCCTGCCTTGACACCCGAACCTGTCCATGCAGAGCTCCAGCGTACCTGGCCCAGCCCCCAAATCCTCTGGCCTTCTCTGGCCGCTTCAAGCCCCGACCTCAGTCCCTCCAGTCGCCCCAGGCTGGTCCTGCCTTCTCTGGGCGCCTCCCTGCTTCCGCCCTGTCTCTGGAGCAACATGGCGGCTCCGCCCCGTCATGGCTCTGGAGGAGAGCGTGGAAGCCTCCCGCCTGCTGCGCTGTGCTCCTTCCCCTGGCAGGTGGGCTGCGGGGCACTCAGAGTGCAAGCAGTGGTTAGTGAAGGACTGGTGAGGGGGGTGCTATGGGCTCTCACCCCTGCCCTCCCCAGCAGGGGATGGTCCCGCCTCCTCTGGGCGCCTCCCCACTTCTGCCCTGTCTCCGGAGCAACGCCCCAGCTAATACGCTAATGACCTGGTCGTTACCCGTTACAGCGTCCCACTAATTAGCATATTAGCTCTTTATTAGTATCGATACATATATAAAACCCTAATATGCAAATAGACCAAACGGTGCAACAAACAAATAACTGGTCGCTATGACATGCGCTGACCATCAGGGGGCGTGCGTGGAATACAGCAGGCGCTGGCCATGGCGGGATGGTGGAGCAGGTGAGCAGGGGCGCCAGACCAAGGCAAGGCACCAATCGCTGTCATCGGGGCCAGCCTCTGGTGGTTACTGAAAATTCTTTGCTCCTGTGCGCTGTGGTCCTCTGCCCGGCACTCGCACCTGCTGCTGTCGCCGGCCCCACTCGCACCCGCTGGCTGGCACCAGTCCCAATCGCTGGGCCCAATTGCCCCTGGGGGCTTCTCCCCCCCCCCCTGCTCCTGAGGAGCGATTGGGGCAGCAGCCACTGCTTGCACCCACTGACAGTGCCAGCCCCAGGCCCCAATCGCTCCTCCGTGGGTGCCAGCAGGGCTGCTGCGAGTGCGGGAGGGACCTGGCAGGGCGCAGAGGATGGGCCAAGACCCACCCCTGTGCCCACCCGAGCCTCGCAGCCCACAGTTCCTTCCAAGGTGCAGGAATTCGTGCACCGGGCCCCTCCTATAGCATGAACATTTCCAGAAAGCAATGCTTGATTACAGCCAGGATGGAGTCCTTTCTGATCACACCCACTTTCACATGCTGCTGGCTTATCAAAAACAAACAAAAATCCCTTCCCACCTTGGGGATGGCCTGATTTTCTAAAGAGTAAATGAAATAACAGGGGATTCCTCCGCTGTGTCAGGCACAAAACGTGGTGCTTTCAAATCCATTCCCCGATGATGCTCGTAACAATCCCAAGAGGAAGTTAGGACTATCCCTACGATTTTGAGTGTCACATCATTTCTGAGGTTTCTCAGGACCAACCTCCTAAAAAGAGTAACCGCACCCGCTCCCTCCCCTCGCCCTGCGTAACGGACGCTATTTATTGAGCTTGACGTGGTCCTTCCCTTCCTCCCGGGCCCCAAGAACTCACGCACCCGAGAGCATGAGTCCCTCCAACTGTGTCAGGCACAGTGTCAGGTCAAAAAAGGGGCTACGGAAGGTTACGTGGCCATGTTAGAGCGGAGTGAAAATAAAAGAGAGACCGTGCCCCTCCCAGAGGCTGGACGTCTGTCTGCTTACACTGGAACGGCACGCCTCACAGAAGACGAAAAATAGCCAGGATGGGGAGGGAACAAACAAACAAAAAACTAGTTCGGATCCCGGAAGAGGGTCATGTCCAAGAGGAGCCGGGCCGTACCTGGTACTGGGAGAGGGAGGACTCCTCCCCCGCGCTGCCGAGGCCCCGGAGGCGAACCACTAGGAAAGAGCTGCCTTCCCCGTCCCACAGGAAGAGTTCTCCGCCGAGGCCCAAGACCAGGTTTCTCGTCAGCAACTGCGGCGGCGGCGGCAGCGGCGGCGACGAAGACAATGATGAAGAAGCCGGCTTCTCGGCCTCGGCTGGACTCTGGTTTTTCAGTCCCTCCCGGAGCCGCAAGAACACGACGTGGTTAGGAAGCCAGGTCTGCCACAGCTCGCCGTCGCCCGATCCCTCGGCGGCCGCCATCTTGGCCCAACTGCTCCCCTCATCCCAATTGCTCAGCCCGCCGCTGAGCGCAGCCAATCCGCGGCCGGCCGCCCACTGCTTCGGCGAATCAGCGAGCAGGCAGCCCGGAAGCACGAGGCTAGGCTAATAAAGTGAGGCCAGCCTATCAGGCAGCGGCAGCGCTAGTGGATAGCCAATCGCCAGTCACGCGAAAGTCGACGAGAAAGTCGACCGGCCAGTGCCGGTTTCAAGTTTTGGGGCCGCGGAAAAGTCTAGAACCTGAGAGAGAGTCTTACTCCTGTGAATCTCATTGCTTATTGGACACCTCCACCTGGGTAAACCTAGATATTCAAAGCTTTTCCTCGAGACTTAACTTCCTCAATCCAGGTGGGTTAACCTCACGGATGTCACTCCCGCAATTAACCACCCTTCGTTTGCCCAAAGCTGTCTCCTTATTGGGACGGCCTGTAGAACACTTCCCAGAATTCCCTGCCGTGTAGTACGATCAGCAACCAGAAACTACAACTCCCAGGGTTCTGCGCGCCCGCAGGGGCGGGGCTTTCCGGAGGCTGCTCCCGCGGAGGGGAGATGGAAGAGCAGTCTGGTTCTCCGCACCGCTCGATGTACAAATTGGTGGGCTCGCCTCCGTGGAAAGAGACGTTCAGGCAGGTGAGTGTGGGATTTGAGAAGCTTTGGCTGGGCGGGCCGTGGTCATTCCCCTAGTCCCTCCAGGAACCGCTCTCCTCAGTGCCTTCGCCGCGTGAGGCAGGTGTCAGGAGTGCCTGGCGGGTGGAGGTGGACCTGAGACTCAAGTCTTCGCACCTGTAGATCTGGGTCTTGTCCATCGCCCGGCTGCCTCCCGGAATTCCTGGACCCCCGGGTGCGGGATTAGCCCGGGCCGGACCAGCCTCAGGCCCCTTAGTTTTGGATTTGGGTTTGTTTTAAATTCGAAGTGTGACCATTGCCACCCTTCTGCACTCTGCAGTAACAGCACCTGCTGTTGTTGGGTAGTGGGCGCCGAGAAGGCATTTTGTGTACTGTATACGCACCTCATGCAAGAGAGAAATTATTTCTATTCAAGATAGAGCGTCTGTTCAGGAGAGCCTCACTTACTGCCTTAGCAGAGTTGTACCGCATCTTAGTTCTGACCTAGTCTGAGCTCAGCGTGCTTCCTGTAACATTGCCTAGGACTGCAGGAATCCCGTAAGTAGTAGATGTAGCCCAGGAATATAATCTGATGCTGGAAATGACTGTTGACATCAGGGTTTCTCACCTTGGCCATTGACGTTTTGAGGAAGACAGTTCTTTGTTGTGGGTGGTGGTTCTGTGCGTTGTGGAATGTTTAGCAGAGTCCCTGGCCTCTACCCACTGGATGCCAGTAGCCCTGACACTAGAGTTATGACAACCAACAATGTCTCCAGGCATTGCCAGATGTCCCTTGGGGGACAAATTGCCCCAAGTTTAGAAACACTGTTGTACAGTTAGGTGACTACTGCAGCCATACCTAGAGCAGCAAGAATGTGGAAGCAGTCCAAACGTCCTGTATAACAGGACAGTGGGTGTTGAGCTGTTATCATCCAACCATTAAAGAAGCTGGCGCTGAAGGTAGAATGTGAAATACGGTGACCTGGAAATATGCGAACAAAGTATTGTAATTTCATCTGGCTACATGTGGATGAGGACAAGATACCCCTTCCCCCCTCCCACCTTCCTCCCTTCTTCCAAGGGATGCCTGGAGAGAATGAGAAACAGCCGGGACAGGCTCCTGGACAAATACCGACAGGCTGGAGGCAATGTGCCAGGGAGGGCTCAGAGCACCCTTCTCGCACAAGAGTTGATGGAAGAGGAATGGAATGCTTGGCACTCGATGGAAAGCTGCCCAGAGGCCTTGGCTCAGGTCAGGCTGGGATGTGTTTTCAGGGAGGACCCTCGTGTCCTTCCTCTGCCTATTTCCCCGAGTCCTCTAAACCCATATACTCTCAAACCTACAGCTGGGATTCTAACAGCCTTTAACCCAGTTTCGTCTACCTTTAACGTTAGTCTGTTTTAGATTAATGGTTCCTAAGTACCAGACTGTTGACCTGCTGCATCATTGCATTATATTCAATTATGAAACTAAAAAGAAAGTAATGTTACTCCTTGGCTACACCCCTGGACGTTTTGATGCAGTGGTCATGAGGCTAGAAATCTTGCTTTTTAAGAAGGTCTCCAGGAGCTTCCTGATTCTAATCTCAGTCAGAGGTGGGAGCTGAGTGCAGATAGAAACCTTTTACCAGGTGTCGGGAGAGCACTGGATTGGAAGCCAGCAGCTCTGGAATTCTGATCCTGGTTTTGATATTGCTTTTTAACTCCACTCTGCCTCTCTGGCCTTTAGTTTTTATATTTATGAAATGAAGACAATAATGTCAGTATTGTGAGTACTATATAAGAAAACATGTGGGAAACTGCTTTGAAAACATCAAAGCTCTCTAGAATAATGATGCATTATTCAGTATCTCTTATGTGTCCTATAGTTTGCCAAATGTTTGTGTCATATAATCACAATTAGTACTCACAATAACCTTCACAACCTTCTCAGCTAGGTTTTATTCCCATTTTACAGAAGCCCAAAGTGAGGTTTACAGGGGTTAGGAACATTCTGGCTGTCACATAGCTTGGCAGAACCACATACTTAGCTGCTGTCCTATATGATCTGCCCCCAATTAAGTGCCATTCTTTTGTCACTGGGTAGTTTAGGCATTTCTTGATGCTTTCTCAGCATGACCACATTACCCCACTGTCAGCATAGTCTACAGAAGGGCAGGACTGACTGATTTCCTCAGGTAAACCTGGGTTCTTCAAGCCAACCTCCAAGTATGAATCATTGTGGGGCTTGTCAGCTGATTATCACTTCAAACCTCTGATGATCCCACTTTCTCTTGCAGTGGGAGGAGCCGATGGACTTGGCTGAGCTGGAGGAAATCCAACAGGAGCTGATTGACCAAGGTGACCTCTGGGAGTGGTCTTTCCTGCCTGAACCTAGCCACTCTAATGCCCTTTATTCTCAACAGAATTGGTTCTGAACTTCTACTTCTGCCTGCAGCCAAGCATCCAGAAGTCTCTGCTTTTACTCTGAAGTCTTGACTGGCTGTCTTCCTAGTAATACGAGTCTTAAGTATGCCAGGTCTTGTGCTCAGACTTCTCATTCCGTGCTGATTTTCTCCTGACAACTACCCTACAAGGCAATAGGAGACAGACGAGAGTGGCATCTCACCCTGGCTGAACAGCTAGTGGTGGAGCTGGGAAGCAACATCAATTTTGTGAATCCAGTTCCCATGCTTATTCTATCCGACACTACCTCTCTATTAATAGATGGATAGTAATCCTGTACCCTGTAGGATACAGTGCAGGATCAGCTCTCTTGCACAACTTAATTTAAGTGTCTTCTCTCCCATCCATTCTTTACCGACTACCCAGGGTCTTGTGAGCATCTACTCCCTGAGGCATTCATAGCACCGTACAGTGCACAATTTAACACCTTACATAATTCATTTATTCCACATTGCCCTAGGTTGACTAGGCTCAGTATTTATCATCTGTAAAATAGAGATAATAGGCCTACCCTATAAGTTTGTGTGTGTGGAAACTTATGTTTAATAATATGTGTAGAAGACGTAGAGAAGTGTCTGACATATTGAAAACTTTCAACAAATGAGGATGCAAGACCATGGACTGCTGAGCTTGGCTACTGAGGTTCACTTCTGAGCTTTACCACTTTAACTGGTACAGCCCTGGGCAAAGCACTTAATCTCCCCATGCCTCAGTGTCTTCATCTTTAAAATAAAGATAATATTAGTGAATAAGTTAATATGTGGAAAGGACTTAAAATAGCATTTGACATATTGTAAGTGCTATGCAAGTGTTAGTTGTTATGATTAGTATTGATTCCAGTTAGACCATAGATTTTTTTATTGATTCACCCTTCACCCCCACCTACAAAACCTATCTAGTGGTGAAACAAAAGATTCACTAAATATTTCTTTTGGGGTACGTTTAAAAAATCTGAAGTGATAAGGATTCACTGTGTTCTGCCCATACTCAGTCAGGTGGAACACACTAGAACAGAGATTGAGAAACTTTCTGTGGAGGTCCAGATAGTAAATACTTTAGGCTTTGTGATCCATGCTTTCTCTGTTGCAACTCCTCAGTTCTGCGGTTGTAGTATGGAAACAGTCAGACAATACATAAACACGTGAGCATGGCTATATTCCAGTTAACTTTATTCAAAAAACTGAAGTTGGGCTGGATATGGCCTGTGGGCTGTGGTTTACTGACCCCTGAGCTAAAGTCTAGACCAGTGGCTCTCAACCTTGGCTGCACATTAGAATCACCTGGGAATCTTTTTAAAATCCTGATTTCTGGGCCTCATCCTCCGGAAATTCTGTTTCTTTGTTATGGGGTGGGGCCACAACATGAGTAACGAAGAAACAGAATTTCCGGAGGATGAGGCCCAGAAATCAGGATTTTAAAAAGATTGCCAGGTGATTCTAATGTGCAGCCAAGGTTGAGAACCACTGGTCTAGACTGAGCTCATCAAGAGCAGGGAGCAGTCTTTTTCACCTTTGCACCCCATGCCTGCCACATCCTAGGTATTGTTGCATATTTGCTGAACGAATGAACACATAGATTCTGAACAACACAGACTCTGAGCATAGGGACATTGGGGGACAGATCACTGGGACTCAGCAGGGTGGGCTGGCATCAGAAAGAAGTGCCCTGTGTCAGCTTTCTCCAGCTGCCCCTGGGACCTGACTGACAGTCTACAGCTACGCTACGGCCTCTGGTGATGTGTGTGAAAGTCCTCTTCTTGTCCCTTAGCCTCACCACTTCACCTCTTTTGCTCACAAAGTGAGGCCAGACAGGAGGGGAGGAATCCAACAAGAGGAAGCCTGAGGGAAGAGTAACTATTTAGTGATTGGTAGCATGATTTTACCTGAATTTTTCTCAGGTGGATGAAGCTTGTGAAGGTGAAGTTAGCATTAAATACAGGACAGCTGGGTGCAGCATGGTGACGCGCTCCACCTGTCCATTGCCTTGCAGAACAGTCCATCATCAGTGAATACGAGAAGAGCTTGCAGTTTGATGAGCAGTGTCTCAGCATCATACTGGCTGAGTGGGAAGCAAACTCCCTCATCTGTCCTGTGTGCATAAAGTAAGAGTTTTCCAAACCTTTTCAGCATTGTTGATTCCCACCCTCCACTCCAAAACGAGTGGAATTTCCCCTCTGCTGGCCATGAAGCTCTGGGGTCCTAATTCTGCCTCTAGGTACAACCTGAGAATAACAAGCGGTGTGGTCATGTGTCAGTGTGGCCTGTACATCCCATCTCATGTAAGTGTTACACACCCAGATTTTGTCACCTTTGTCCACAATTATCTATTTACCTTAAGACCCTTCAGTAGTGTGTTGGAGATGGCTGTGCACATCTTTTCCCAGCTCATGTTCAGTTCACATTGGTAGCTTGAAGTCAGACATGGTGAGAATATATACAGCATGGAAATTGGCAAGCACACAAACCAGGGGGGGTCCCTGCCCCCAGCCCGGAGCCATTTGTTAAACACTTATCCATAAAAATTGTCCATATATGAAGACACACCTACACTCAGAATTTAAGCTTCAGTGATCTTAAAATACAGAAAGAGCCCTCTTATCTGACATGACAGGGAGTGAAAGTTTGTCAATTGATTAGAGTGGTGAATTATCAAAATGAAACATAGTAAATTTCAAGCATATAAATTTACTTGCCAGTCTTTGAGTGGGGCTCTGCTGATTGGAGAGCTGAGTCTTTTTTTTACAAACCACTCTTATAATGCATTGCCTGGAGCTTCTAATTTGTTTCTGAAAAGTGCATTGAGAAGCTGAGTGTGCAACTTTAGGATTTTTCCTCCCTTTTATTTAACAGCTTTATTTTTTAAGCAACTCATCTTTTTGAGTTTCCTAAACATCCCACTTATTATTACAAAAAAGAAAACTTTGTTTTCATTCTCTTATTTTGTTGTTTAACATAATATGTAATTACTCAGTTATAGTAGTAAATTCAATTAGCACAGACAGATCTGGGACCAAGCAGTGCTGGCTCTTGGTGAGAATACATTTGGCTGGTGGAGGCAGAAGCATAGGACGGCTCCAAGTGTCCCTGGTGCTGTGTGTGGCTGGGTGCTTTACAGAGGAGAGGAGAGCACTGGTTGTCTGGAGAGGCAGTCAGGTGGAGATTGGCTTAGAGACCTTTTTAGTACAATCATGAGCACTTTTAAAGGTCCAAGGAGTCAAGTCATCACAGATACAGGGTATCGTGAGGAATCAGGTTTTTCTACCTGTTGATGATGAGGTAACTAAGATTAGGTTGCGGTTTAACCTTTTTGTTTTTTAGTCTCCAGAATTGACAGAGCAGAAACTTCGTGCCTGTTTAGAGGACAGCATGAATGAGCACAGCGCCCACTGTCCTCACACACCTCAATTTTCAGTCACTGAAGGGACAGGAAGAAAGTCCAGTCTTCTCATGAGCTGTCTGGTAAGCCTCCCAGGGGACCCATGGTAGGGGCAGCTCAGTGTTTGGTTTTATCCCTGCTCTGGGAGAAATCATAGGTTGGAAACAGGTACATGTTTAAAAGCAGTTTATTCTCTGAGGAGTTTACTTGAATAGGAAAGTGAAGGTGACGAGCCCGTTCAATGAAAAGTCCAGTCATTCCCTGAAAGGGGCAGGACAGAGGCAGCACAGGATCGTGGGAGGTGCATTGGACTGGAATTAGGAAGCCTGGTGGCACTGCCTGCTCTTGTTTGATTGGTAGCAGTGGCCTTAGGTGAAGCTGATTATTTTATATTCGTAAGACCAGGTCGTCCAGCCTGGTGCCAGTTTGACAGTAGGACACGGAACAGGAAGCACAGCAGGGCAGCATCAGGCTGGCCTCCTCAGCAAGAATCTTCACGGGGACCAGGGGCTGCTGTCTGGCCCCCTAAGTGACAACTCAGGTGTGAGGGAACAGGACCACACAAGTGGACATAGAGCCACCCTGGTTTAGAACCTACGCTTGCTGTAGGAACCAGTGTCTCTTACAGTAACCCCTGGCTGTAGCTTAAGGTCCCAAGCAAGGGGAACCCTGGGTTGTGAGCGCTCTGCACTTAGGGAAGTCCAGAACTGTGGCCTCCTCCTGGGTTATCTCTAGTTCTCTCCTGGCCCTCTCATTTCAAAGGCAGTTTACCTACAGGAGTTGTGTTTGTTATAAACAGTATTGCCTAATACAGCCAACATTTCACTTTATCAAGTTTCTTCCATAAGTTATTCAATTCTATTCATTTTTTTTAAAATGTGTTGAGGACTTTTTAAAATTCAAAAATATGCATTCTCTCTGAGTTCAAGTCTAGGGTTGGTAATTAAGAGAATATAGAAAACAGGTAGTCAGTAGCCCTGGAGAGCTGTAGGGGGAGGGCCTATGGGAGTTCAGAGGAGGTGATTTCCTTTATGGATAAAGGCTTCCATAAGGACGCGAAAGGTTGCTTAGCATAGTCCAGCTGCAGTCGTCTGCTCACTTGGCCATCGGTGCCCTGCAGCCCAGACCAGGAGGGAAACCAAGTGGAGGGGGAGGTTTGGAAGACAGGTGCTGTGGAGGCATCAGTGGTGGGGACAGCATGATTGACAGTGCTGGCTCAGGGGCAGAGGGAGGCCATTGCTGGGCAGAAGGCGGTCATACCAAAATGAGGAACAGGAGAGGGAAGGACAAAATTGTCTTCAGTAGCCTATCCCAGAGTTCACCCCTTTGAAAAATAGATCATTAGGAATGCTCTGGAGTCCAGGGGGCACTAGACATCTTTCTCCTAAGGGGAAATCAAGGACCATTGGGCTCAAGATCCAGTGAGTCAGGCTGTAGCTTCATTAAGCGTGGGTGTGAGGGTGAAGATAGGTGTGGGTTACCGAAGTTGGGTACATAGAGCCCTAAGGACTTGGAATATTGGAAATGTGAGAGGGATAGTGGTCTAGGGCTAGTCATGGGATGGGGATGTGTTAGACCACCAGAAAGCCAAGTATATTACCTATGGATGTGGTGTCAAGGTTAAGCACAGGATTCCTTAGCACTGTGGTGGGGCTGAGCTGTCAAGGAATCAGAAACCAGGTTTATATTCGAGTGCTTACTGATTGTTAGGGGAGACCAAGGAAGGTAAGCTAGAATGAATGGGCCTGAGCTGATTGTAGTCAGTGTGCATAATTTATACCTTGCAATGGTGCACACCTGTTTCAATCCCGTTAAGCTGAAGGAACCACACCTCCTTGCTGAGCTCTAATAGCTGTCAACTCTCCGAAGTCTGAATAACCTTTTTGGTCACAGGGTTCCTGAGGTGAGGATATCAGATCAGTCCATTGCCAGGATTTGTAGTTTGCAGGTACTATTGTTGCTGAGGGTTTAAAAGACAGTTGTTTTGAGACCACAGGACTGACACCCAGCCAAGCCTCTTACAACTATACCCGCAACTATTTCCTAAGTAACTCAGCATCCTTTCCTAAGTAAGAGTGTTAATGGCAGCATAAATGTGATTGCTGATGACAACGTTCAGCCCTATGAGATAAATCTTAAGCTACTTTCTCTATTTAAATCCAGGCCTGCGATGCTCGGGCTGCGATCATCTAAAGCCAGCCTTTACTCACATCCTTCTGCTGGGTTGGAACCAACTCAGACCGTCTGAGGGGGCCTTGTAAATACAAACCTTTCATTTGTAACTTATTTTGTATTAAAACCTTTCAAACATCTTGGCTCTTGGTGTTTGGTTATGCAGTCTGAAGGAGGAAGGAATACAAATAGAAAAGACATCACCTTAGAGATAAATCTTTTATTGTCCATCATTATGTTATACAAAAATCTAGAAATAATAGATTTGTAAAGAAACAAATGAATAGTAAATAAGAGGGCAACAAATAATTTAAATCTGAATTATTTTCCATGATATTAGGGTGAAAACCATTTTAAAGTACATGTTTGGCTTCAGAGTAGGTTTTGTTCACTGGCAAAGCCTGCCATAAAATCCAGGTATTCAGTGTCTTGTCTGTCCTACTGGCTCTTCACAAAACCTTTGAGGTCCTCCAGAAAAGTAATGTACTCCTGGTGCTCCAGGGCTGTGCTGAGCTCCACCAGCTCATCTGCAAAAGTGTTGTCTACCCCTCGGTCCGCAAGGAAATCCATGAGGTGGTCATATAAGGCCTACAAGGAGAAACATTCACCATCAGAAAAGTAGTATGACTTCATCTGTAATACTCAATAAAATGCTTGTCTGTCCTTGGTCCGGGACCTCCCTTATAAGGCCCAGGAGCACCCCATCTTATCAAGCACTCACCCAGTCCAGGGAATCTGTGTTGAGTGTGTAATTTGTGTCCTTCCATTCAGATTCACCAGTGGACTGAAAGCTCACTTCCCTGATGGAGAAAATGTCACTCTCGCCCTCTTCTTCTTGTCCAACCTGAGGGGACAGACAGTAGTTGGGGAAACTGAAGGGCTTTCCAGGACAAGCCAGACGCATGCACAGAAAGGGGACTGTGACGTACCTCATCTTCTGGATAGTGACAGTCCAGCACGAGGGCCTTCTTGCCACCGCCCTTTATAACTTCAACCACGAAGTTGGGAGTGGATGTCAGTTCAGGCTGGGGAAACAAGAATAAGCGCGTGCCTTGTTGGCAGGGGTTGGCTGCCTGGACCAAAGGTCTCGATGATGCAGGGGGTCTAGAAGCCACCTCTGCCAGGATATTAGCCATTTTCAAAGTCTTTACTATAGCGTTCCTAATAAGGAGCCGAGAATCTTTAACAGAGTATTAAAGCCACGTGCCAGCTCATTCAGGGACCTGGGGTGAACTCTTCCTATTGATCCTTTCTAAAGTTAAAGACTGTTTTCGAGGGCAGATCATCTTATATTTAGTACAGTGTTTCACTTCTGTTAGCACCTACTTGTTTAAGTAACAGACTAGGTTTAGAATGAAGAAATTTGAATTCCAGCCCCAGCTATGTGCCAATTAACTTAGATCTAGACCATTCCTAATCTCCCTAGACCGTTTCCCATCCCTAAACTGCACAGGTGGCATAAAGCCCCAAGATCTCTTTCCAACTGATTCTGTTTCAGGATCATCCTTCAGCCCAGGGCCAAGGCCAGTGCATTTGGCTGACTGGCCATCGAATGTCTGAATAATCACAGCAACCCTCCCTTTGATGGTGAGCATCCAATGTCAGAGATGCCAGCGTGATGTCACCAGGAGGCTGTTTAGGTCTGAGACAGCACTGATACCTGCTTCGTCAGAGTCTGGGGACTCTGGCCCTCATACCAAATGGTTTCTAGCCCAGACACACTGCTTCCTAGAAGGTTTGAAGACTGGGCACCATCCAGGTCCAAGGTCCAACCACAAAGGCCAGCAGCCGCAGGAAGACGTGATGTTAAATCTCCGATGTCCCCGGCTTTACGCCCTTGGCTCAGTGGCTGGTGTTTATTACCAGCCTGTGACATGTTAGAACATTCCTCACATGAAACGCTCCAAATGATAATCTCCAATATCAGAGACCTTCCCCTCATGGAAGGGTCAGACAGTGCCCATTCCTTTCTATCAGCAGAACGAAGACCAAGCTCTTAAGCTCAAGCCTGCAGATGGCAATTTACGCAGCACCTGGGCAAGGAAATGGGCCACACTCCTGGTGCTAAAGCTGGCCCCAATGGCTGCTCTACGAGTCAAGTCCCAAGGATGGCTGTCCTCTGCCTTCTCTCTCCCCTTCTAGCATTAGAGGAATTAAACACAAAAACAATGCTCCTCCAAGCCCCTGAGAGAGCCCTCAGAACTCTGAGGTAAAGGCCGGTTACAGTATTACAAGCTTACCTCCTGTTCTTCAACCTTCTGGCCCTGGGACTCCTCCTCCCCGTCAAATGTTGGTGGGATGCTATTGTTAATGTTGAAAGTGACTGTGATCCTAGAAAGTTAAAAGAAAACACAGAAGACAGGGTACAGTTTTCACTGAGTGTGAAGTATTGAGGCCTGCTAGTTTAAAATGCTTGTTGAAACAATGTCTCCACCCCAGCCGGCTTTACATTGTAATTACAACCTTCCAAAAAAGCCTGCTGCCTCCATCCCGTCCTGGAATGGATTCAGCAGGTATAAAAAGTGCCTACTATGTGCCAGATGCTGAAAGTCCAACTAATAGGCCCCAGTTTATCTCAGCCAAGCCAGCATCCCAAGGCTCACTGCCAACATTCGTCCACTGGTTCTCTCATGGCCATAGCCAGTGGACACTGCTCACGGTGGTCTTACCCTCCAGTGGCAGTGAGCAGCTAAGAAGTTGGTGGAATGGACTAGATGCCTCCTTTAAAAGCTTTTTTCCATCAGAAAACCTGCCCCTTAAAGGTAAGGAAGAAGGAGCACTAGAGAGTAGGATCAGCTAAAGACCAAGAACAGCCCTGGCCCCAGGAAGGTGAAGCCTCACAAAGAACAGCAATACAGACCCAGTCTTCAGAATGCCTGTGGAGTTATAATTACAAAGCAGGCCGGGAGCATCGCCTAATGACAACTTTAAGGTGCAAGAACCCTCACTTGACAAATCCCGTTCCCAAGTTTGAGTGGAAATTAAAAGTGCGTGAGATGTGGAACTAGCACTGCGGGCTGTGCTACTCCAGCGAGCGCTATCTGCACAGGGCACTCCACAACGGTGCCCTCTGGAGCGGCGCTGATTGGCTGCTTTGCCAGGAAGCCGCTCTCCCACAGGAACATTGGTTTCCGGTTCAGCCACAAAATCTGTCTCATCTGCAACAGTGCTGACCAAGTGGGGCTCCTGGGCACAGAAATGCAAAGTCCAATGGCCCCAAAGCGGCTATGACTCACTCTAGGAAAAAGGTGTAGGTGCCTTACAGAATACACCCCGAAGTAACCAGCCCACAGGAAGTCTGTGTGCAGTGAATGAACTACCTGGAACTTATGCAGTTACCCAGATGAACCCATGTGACTAGGAAACCATGTATCAAAGTACCTGCCTTGACAGGTAAGGTTCTGAGGGTCATGGATTTAGGCGCTGGAATCCAGGCTCCCAGTACTTACTTCTCTCCAGCAACATTCCGGGACAACTTGGCTTCTGTCCCATTCACTTCCAGATCCCAACCTCCAGACATCTTAGGGAGGGTCTTATGCTTCTGTATCTTCTTTTCCTCCTTAATTTCATCGCTCAGGAATTCAACAAAAGCTTTGTCCCCTACAATGAAAATCCATGTTACAGAAAAAGAATAGCCCGCCCGGCCAGTGTGGTTGAGTGTCAACCTATAAACCAGGAGTTCACGATTCAATTCCAGTTCAATTCCAGGTCAGGGCACATGCCCAGGTTGCGGGCTCGATCCCCAGTGAGGGGCTTACAGGAGGCAGCTGATCAATGATTCTCTCTCTTCCTTCCTCTCTGAGATCAATAAAAACATATTTAAAAATTAAGAAAAAGAACCCATCAGTCCAAAGTGACCCAGGTTCCTCTAGCCAGAAATCTGGACTAAGACTGTTAATCCTTCTCTGGGGCTTAGTCCAACTCACACCCACTAAGTCTAAGTGTCCTTATTGGTATAGATGCCCTAATACTACCAGTAGGAAGCTGAGTTTGATTCTGAAAAAGTGATTTGCAACAATGAACACATTATCACATTCACACAGAGCAAACGAGTTCTCAATTACCTTCTTCCTCTTGTCAAAGACAATAACCAGGCCACTTTCTTTTTTAATCCTCACCGGAAGACATGCTTTCATTGATTTTAGAGAGAAACATCAATGGGTAGAGTCCCTTACACACCCCGACAGGGAATCCAACCGCAACCTGGTATGTGCCCTGACCGGGAATCGAACATCGCTTTGTAGACCCTGCAACCAACGGAGCCACATGGGCCAGGCTGACCCGCCACTTCCTACCGCGACCTTGGGCCTCCCCAAAGTTCCGTTTGTGAGAGGCTAAGGATAAAGCCAGACTCCAGGGTTTAACTGGACGCCCCAACCCCAAATGGAACGCGTTAAGGACGGGAAAGGGAAATGGGATCAATCACACGTGGGTTTCATCCTCTGCTTGCCAATAACTGGGAACATGCTCCGGAGCTCGCCGGGCGGCTCGCGGTGCCCATTTACCTGTCCGGCCCCCGCCCCATTGGGAATCTGCCCTCACGCCCGGCCCACGTGCGCGAGCTCACCT